CTCCTCATCCCCAAATAAAACAAAACAAAAAAAACTCAGTGGTACTTTGCTGTAAGTGGAAACTGTTAATAAATTTTACCTTGGGTCACACCCCCATCCACCTCCTTCTCTGCTCTAAGAAAGGTAAGAAAGAAAGTTGGGACATCCCCTCTATTTGTCAGAATGCTAGCCCTGAAATTTCCTAAGGGATCTGGGGGCAGGCAGGGCCACTCCGTATCATCCACTGTATTCACCAAGCCGAGCAGCAGCTTCAGGGCCAGCACCATCAGAAGGGATGGTTTTCCTACCCTTAGGTTAGCTGTGGGCAGGGTAGGTAACATCGTTTATGCCATGTTCATTTGAAAAGGAGCTAAGAGTCTACAGTGTCTTGAGGGTCTAAAATTGTCATTAAAGGAATCAAAGAACAGTCAGGCCTAGAGAAGGAAGGCAACTCTGAGTCTGGCAGATGTTAAAACAAGTGATCTCAAACCAGTAACAAGCAACGCAAAGGAGATCTGTCTCAGAACTTGTCTTTGGATTGCTGTTTGTTTGAGACTGGACCTGTATTTACCTGCCTCTGGAATGGTGGCACGTTCCCCATTTTTCATGATTTCCCTAATAGTAACCAATGACTTCATTTGCAAACTCTCTCAGCATTTGGAGATGGAAACCCTTCCAGGCATAAAACCGGAATTATCTTAGAAGAGTGTGGTTCAGTACCTGGAGATTTAATTATTTCTAAACTCCACCATTTCTGGTCTAAAGATAATTGTTCTTGAGGAGAAATAAGCCTTTCCTTAGATTTTAGTCACAGAACAACTGAAATTGCAAAGAAAAAAGCCCTGGCTAGTAGGGCCTTTCTTCCAGGTTGAGGCTGGTCTTCCTGTCATCCTGGCCACCTCTATACAATTTCCACACCACTCTTGTTCTCACCTTGGCACTTCACTGCTCTGCCGGAAATAAGAACAAGACTAAATTTAACCCTGAAGGTTTTGAGAGCAAAACTGTACAGGAGGCAACAAGGCTTCTAAACATCTTTTGGATTATCTCCAGTAACCTGGTAAAGGGAAAGCCCAGGTAAGCAAGCCACTGAGAGAGAAGAAAGGGCTAATCCTAAATTACTGGATAAGATGAAAAGTGAAATAATCAGATGGAACTGGAGACATGAAGGCCTAGAGAGCCAAACTGGACCCTCTGACTAAACCTCAGGGGTCCGGAGTCCCAGCTATTCTCATTAAGATTTCTTCCCCTTACTTTGTGGGGACCACTCACCACCACTTCATCTGGTGATGACCTGTAGTTGCCTCAATCAGGATAATTTCACTGTTATTATTCCTCCTTTGGAATGGGCGACTTACATGATTTTTATCATCATTTGATCTATTGATATGGGACAGGAACACATGGACCAGGCACTAACCCCGGACCTAAGGGAATGCCAAGCCAAGTCATTCAGTGCTCATGGTGCAGCATTGGACTTACAACCAGATGCTGAGCTCTGTCCAGCAAGTATCTCCAAATTAGGGGAACAGATCCAAGGTCACAAGGGCAAGTTGATTTCTCCAATCCTTCCTGGCACACTTCTCAGCCAGTCATCCCTTCTCATGTGGTCTAGGGAGGAGATAAAACTTGGACCAATACTGATGGTGAGAAGAGGCTGTTCTCTTTCTCACATAAGCCTTTTCCAATACATTTATTGTGCACCAGGCTGCAGACAACCATGCCCTGGTCCCCCTGATGTCCAGCCACCATAAAGCCTTGTAAGATTCCAGAGCCAGACCAATTTTCATCTTCTTTTAAGTTACCCCAGGGCTCCAGGCAGCCACTGCAACTGACAATGTAGCCCTGGCCCTGGCAACATAACACAGTCAACTAAAGGACAATAGGAACAATTCATCAAAATACAACATAGGGCAAATCACAGCAGCACGAAAGAGCACTAAACCTGGGAGCATCAGACACAGAACTCCATCAAGGGGAATGCTCTCTTCTCAGGATAAACAAGATAAACACATATACCGTAAAACACACATTGCCATGCCACTCTGCCACTGGAACTGTCTTTCTGAAATGTACACCAGATCACATCTTATTTCTACTTTAAGGCTCTCTGCCCTCTCAAGCACAGCACTCAAGTACCTGCACAATCATGTCCTAACTTACTTTTCTGGCCCTCGGGCTAGCCCACTGCACACCATGCACCTCCTGCTGTTCAAATGGAATCATTTCCATACCTGAATGGTCTCTTGTCAACTGTGCTACAGATGTTATTAATTCCATGATGAATAAACTAAGAGTTTTGAATTGTTTTTCCACTAAAAGTACATATCACAAAGGGACAGGAAGATGCATATTTACCCGAAAAGGTAAATTGAAGGATGATGATTTGGCCTAAAGAAGAAGTGTTTTAAATGGCAAACTTCCTCAGTGATTTGTCAGTGGGATTTGACTCACAAAAAGAGGTTTACCTACAAAAATTTTAAGCATATATCCGGCTCTTCTGCTGATACTTCCCATCAATATGGCTCGTAAAATGATGGGATGTGGTGTTTAGTAAGTTGGCCTTAGTCTCCATTAACTCATTTCATGGGAGAAAGTACCTATGTCAGAGGGAAAAAAGTAAGTGGGAGAGAAAGAATGAAGAGGTGGGGGAAGGAGTTTATAATTTGTCAAGATACTAGGACTGGGTGCCTTGTTATTATTTCCTCATTATTTCAAAGAAGGTACGGAAAGGTGCTCTGCACCTTTGGATTGGTGCTGCTTCATTCACATTTCCCGCCACCGTACGACTCGTCTTTAAGCAGGGCCATGAGGTGGCCACCACCAGGACACACTGATCTGCACTCAGAAGCTGCTTGAAGGACGCAGTGGGCGACTGGAGCACAGTGAGCTGACTGGCTCTCACAGGTCAAGGGCAGGACCTTGGCCTTTCTTTTATCATCACTATTCTGTAGACTGCCAGTCCAAAATACATGTTTTGAGAGACAGAGGAGGCCAGGGTTTTATACTCTAAGGATATACAAACATGTAAGTACTGACAAGAAGGAGGTCACAGGAGAAAAATACTTGTGTGTCTAGAGTAAAAACTTGACACAGTTTATCTAACAGAGGAATTAAAATTATCAGGAGACTAGTCTGGAGCTAGTATTAACAATTCTGTAAAATACAATTTAAACACTTGAACATATTTTTCATCATTAACTCATTACAATATACTATGAAACACATGTACATAATAGAACACTCATTTTTTAACCCTCATTATTTTTAAGCATTTGGGCAAATATATTAGAAAAGATTATCAAAACAATAGTACACATCAGTCATTTCAAAAGGCAAAACCACAAATTATAGGCTGGAAGTGATATTATTTATGATAAAAAAAACTTTGCTTGCTGAAAGATAGTCATAGCAATTTTAACAAACTAATAGTAACATTTTTTTAGAGCCTTTACTATGATCTCGGCACTATTCTAAGAGGTTTACACTTATTACCCTGTTCAATTCCCAAAACAATTCTGTGAGGTAAAGAGAATCATCATCCTTAATTTGTAGGTGAAGCACAGAGGGTAAGTAATTTACTTAAAGTCATATAACTAGTAATAGATAGTTATTTAATTACCTTGAAACTTCATACAGCTTATTGAAGAATGATTACATTTACATCAGTATGCCAAGGGAAATACTTTTAAAGCTATACAGATACATTCATGTTTTAAAAGCATCAATTTTGTGCATGTGGGTCTTGCTCTAAATCTACTCGCAGAGCCACATATTTGTAATTTGCCTCACTTAAACTGAATCTTACTTGAGAAAAAACCGTGGTCAATCACAACAACAAAAAAGATACAGTGATAATTCACTTTATAAAATTATTTGTCTTATTACAATACAATTCATTTGAGATGCCTTTATGTAGCATCAGTGATACAGATTTCTTTTTGGTAGAGCTGGTTTATCTGAATCAACTCTATTACTAAAATCATGTAAAGACTAAATTAATTACACGATTTAAAAGCAACATATGTTTTATGCAAGGAGAGGCACAGCCATATATGAAAAGTTGGGCAAGGCATAAGATTTTAAGGGCCTTAAACTTGAAATCAGCAATGTTACGGTTATGATTTCTTAAGACATGAAAACAAAGGAGAACTTTTCTTTAAACATTCACAGTAGAGAAAAAGATCAAAACTATGTCATAAAAAGAAAATTAGTAATTACATACTTATTTATATTTATCTGGCCAATTCTAATAGTTTTGAGTTAAATGTTTTTTGGCTTTCTCCAATTAGTATATAAGAGTTATTGAAAAGGATTTGGCTTTCCCATAAGTATGTTCAGATATTACACATGGACATTCTGCCTCAGGCAATACTTCCTGCCGATCTGGTATGTATCATTAAGGTATGGTATCTCCTTGTAGTTACTGTTGAAATATAAGGGAAAACGGTGCTCAGATGCTCATACTTGCTGGCTATTATTCCTTTTACCATACATGAGCTGTGGTGTCTTTTGTCAACATACACAAGTGACATGGCTATAATGTATTCCTGGCAGCTAGAAACGAGAGTAGTTTTTATGTGTGGCTAACACAAATCACTCTCATCACTCCATGGTTCCATACCTCCCATACAATGCTTTCCCACAACATTTAGCTCACCAACTTGCATGTACCACGGGGGATGTGGAATGGAAACAATCTACCAGTGATGAATTGCATGTAGATAAAAACTTTGTAAAAATCAGTCTTTAGCCTAAGTTAGTCTATACAGTCCCAGGACCCACTACCGTATTTGCATATAGGAGGCATTTAATAAACATTCAGCTGTTAAAAAGCAAAATATACAGACACCTGTTTGGAAGTCAGTTCTTTCTATTTCCTGAAGACATAAGGAAATAATTGCCTTCATCTGGAATAATATTTACGTCAACATAAGAGCTGACTAAAGTGAACAAATGATTATCCCAGTGTTTTTAAATAGAGCCAAAAAAGGATGACATATTTATAAAAAGCTGCTTACCTTGCAAACAGAAAGAACATTAATATTTATCAGTTTCTTGATGGTCTGCAAAAAAAATGGATAATTGTATACAGATTTGATCGTGGACATAACCATATTAGATATACATATATGTAGGTAATCCAGAGATGCATTGAAAGTTTCCCCAGATACAGTAGAGACCTTGGAAAATGGTAGGAGTTGGGGTAAAGAGGCAGATTTTATTTTACTCTATGTTATAATACTTTTCTACCAAATGCAGCAATTCATGCTGATATGCAAAATCCAAGGTATAAGTGCAAGTGAAATCTGCAAGCAAAAAGACCCATTAAACCTAAAATAAATATGCCACTTCCTCTCTGCTAATATGCAAAGGAGAAATTATTGAATCTAAAAATTTCAACAATTTTTTAATTTACATATTCCTTCAATGAAATGCTTTTCTAGTTTTTATTAAAGAATTATACATGCATCAAGAATATAGCTTTCATTTGGGTAGAGTTAGTTTATCTGAATCAACCATACTGCTGTCTACTGACACATTTAATGGTTTTTAAGTTGATGTTTAGAATCCTGATACTTAAACAGGGCTGTTTTGATATAATCAAAATGATAATAATAAAACTAAAGCTATTA